TCTAAAGTGTTGTTTTATTTTTTTTCCTGTGTACTTTGGACTTTGCCTTTCATGTTACAAAGTTTCTTCAAATATCTAGAAATCCTTTGCCTTATGTCTGTTCAGATGTAAGGATGAGGTGCTAAGAAGTTGACTAGATCTATGGACACAGTTGGGATTTACCAACTGTGGGTTTCACTATATGAGGTGATCTGCCTGCTTTGTTGGAGAACCTTTGATGTTAATACCCACAGGTCTTTTTCTGACTAGTCAAATTCCCCAGATAAGAGCCTTCCGCTCTCTAACCTGGAGGTATAAGCCTGGCTGGCAGAGTTGTAGAAACCACCACTCAGTAAATAAACTTTCACTTCTCTGTTTTCAATACAACTGTGCCCAGGTATCCTCCATTCTAAAGACCCTGTGTTGTTTTCCATCTCCAACAAAGAAACTTCCAGTAATATGACGTGTTGGGGGTGAGTAGTTGCCGAGATATATGGAGTAAAGGAGAAGATGAGGGAGGTCAAAGAATCCTCCTAATTTTAGTACCACTTACACCCCAATTGTACATGATGCCACTAATTTAAGGGTATATCAAGTTGCTTCTAAGCTTTCTTCACTGCTGTCTTAGTTACCACTTCACTGCTAAATCAGTTACGCTTATCTTTCTATTTTCCAGTTTCTATCTAAAGTTTTGCTATTAACTCCTCTCTTTTTCTTGTTGACCCCTTTATAAAATCTCCTATTGTTATTTTATTAGGATTTAGGAAAGGAATGAAGTGAAATGCTAGATCTCTCAAGTTTAACTGAAAGTCTCCATTAACTTGGAACCCTGTGCAAACTGGCTTCATTCTCAATAATCCATGAGCTGTTAACATTGGTCTTTCCAAAAGAGTCAACCTGGTCATAATACACTTCTTGAAAATCCTTCAAAAGCTCCCAAATGCCTTCAGAACAAAGCCCAATTTAGTTAGCTTGCAGGCCTTTTCCAAACCTGTCTCCCCACTCGTCTCACCAGTCAAACCTAACCACCACCACGCTCCATTCACTCCAAACTGAATCCCTTAGTGTACTTCAAGTGTGCTGGACCCCTTCACAGCACCATGCGCTTGCCTATACTGGTTTCCTTTTCCTCCCCAAACAGGTAAGACAGATACCTGTTAACCCTGAAGATTCAATTCAAGCAGCACTTCCTCCCAGAATCCTTTCTCTGTGCTCCTGGCGATACACCCCGGGCATATCTCTAACAAAACGCTATCCCACTGTCGCGTAAGAGTCATCTCATTCATCTTTGTATCCCCAGCGCCCACCACGTAATAGACAACCAGAAAGGGGAAAAGGCTGAAATAAGCCAGCTTCCGAGAACATATTGATACTCTGTGTTTCAGTTGGGGTCCTATTCAGGGGGAAGCGCTAAGGCGAATAATTTAACACTCACCAAGTAAGCCTTTTCCCCCGGCCCCGATTGACGGCGGAGCCGGGCGAGCAGAGAGAGATTCCATGGCTGTGTAGTCTGGAGGAATACCCCAGAGCTCCCACCATCACCACCTAGCACCAGCAGACGCTCAATAAACTCTTGTAGAAGAAATTAGCTATAGACCACAAGATAAGTGTCGTGAAGATGGATAGGTCAGAATGGCCTCCAGCTAGGGAATGTTTTGATATTGTCTCTTACACATGTAGTCCCGTAGCTCTAGCGAAGACCTGAGCATGCGCAAGACTCCCTGGGAGTTATAGTTCGCCAGGTGAACCGAGAAAGGCGAGACTGCGCTGAGCATCCTGGGAGTTGTAGTGTCGACTAGAGAGCGCTCACTGCGCAGGTGCATTCCGACAGTGACAGTCCCTTCCGGGCTCCAGCGTCGCGTCTCGCAAAAGGAGAAAATCCGGTAGATTCCCAGCGTGACAATGGCCACCTACAGCCTGGCAAATGAGAGACTACGCGCCCTGGAAGACATCGAACGGGAAATAGGCGCCATTCTTCAAAATGCAGGTTCAGGATAACACGACTGGAGAAAGGGAGCGAGCGAAGCGAGCCGCGTGCACATGCGCCAACCCGACTGGGACGGGGCTAAGGAGGGATCCTAAAAGCATGGGCAGCGCGGGTCGGGTGGGAGGGGCTCGCCCTTGGGCGGGGCTGTATAGTGGTCTCTGAGTAACCCTGCGCTTTCTCCGCCCCGGCAGGTACAGTGATCCTAGAACTCTCTAAGGAAAAAACAAATGAGCGGCTGCTAGACCGGCAGGCGGCGGCCTTCACCGCTTCGGTGCAACACGTGGAGGCGGAGCTGTCGGCTCAGATCCGCTACCTCACCCAGGTGTGTGGGTTGTGGGAGGTGTGGTACGCCCACTCAGCTCTCTGCCTTAACCTTAACCTTCAGAGACCCGGGACAGAGCCAGGCGTACGACTCTGGGGACCCCTCTCTTCCAGGGTTGATTTCTTCTTCTAAGAAGAATTAAAGGCGGCCCTGCCCACTTTACTGGACTGCATCATATGAGCCACTAGATGGGGAACTCCCGCGAGAAGGCTTCTTTTTTTTTTTTTTAAGATTTTTTTTTTATTGGGGAATTTGGGGAATGGGAACAGCGCTGGGGAACTGGGGGAAGGGGAACAGACAAGTTGCTGTCGTTTTTGTTCTTCAGTCTAGTTGTGGAGGACACCGCTTCACTGGGCCAAGCTGGCACCATCATTGCACTCCTCCCTGGCGAGGCAGATCAGTCGCCGGCTTCTGGACGGCCGCTCACTGCGGCTGCTGACCGCTCACGCTGGCTGCTGGCTACACACAGTAGCCCATGGCAACCCACTGCCACAGGGGCTGCAGCCTACGCCGTCGCCGGCGACTCAAGGCAAGCCCAGCTCCAGGTTGAGCTGTTGTTCAGCATCTTAGCTGTAGAGGGCAGTGTCACTGGCCCTCATATGTGGGATCCGAACCGGGGCCCTCTGGCATCCCAAGCCAGTTCTTAACCATCGCGCCACTCGGCCGGCCCCGGAAGAGGGCTTCTAAACAATCCCAAAGCCACAGGACTTTGCCCCTAGAAACTTGACCTGACCTCAGGCGCATGAAGCCCCATATGGCTATATCCTGAGAAAAGGGACAGGATTGTGAGGGTTCTGAAGTCATTACAACAGCAACCACCATTTACCAAATTTTTTACAATGTGCCAGACACTCTGCATTATCCTATCTAATCGTACCTACAACAATCCCCATTTTCCAGAAGAAGTTAACAGAGGTTAAGTGATTTGCCCTAGGTCATCCAGCTACCATTTGGCATAATGAATTTAGACTTAGAGAAAAAATGAGACAAGAGACATGATGCCTGGTTGGGGAGATGGCTGAGGGAGGGCTTGCTTCATTGACCAATTGAAATGTTCTGTAGGTGGCCACAGGGCAGCCCCATGAGGGGTCCAGCTACTCTTCAAGGAAGGACTGTCAGATGGCCCTGAAGCGAGTGGACTATGCTCGCCTCAAGCTCAGTGATGTGGCCCGAACTTGTGAGCAGATGCTGGAAAACTAGGCCAAGTAAGTAGAGAGAGAGCTTGGAGGGAGACCACCACCTGCACCCCGGGACAGACCTGAAGACCTGTAGGATGGGGAGCACAGGCTGCCGCATACATGCTGGTCAGAATATATGAGGACAAAGTGGCAAAAGATGTGAATGGAGAAACAAAGACCAAGCCTCCACAACTATGCACGGGCTCCTTCAACAGGGTGCTCCTGCTCTGCACTTCACAAAAGTGCTGACAAACTCAGACAGGAGATGGAGATTGAGACACCTAACCACTTCCTCAGATACTTCACGTCCCTGTCCCAGACTTCCACAAACTTGGGCCAATGAAAATACATTCTTCTTTATTGGAAGAAACAAAACAAGAACTAAGGGTTTTAATAATAAAAAAACAATAATAATAAAAACGAGGAGCTTAGACTTTTACTGGGGCATATGTGAGGGATGCAAAGGATTGAAGAAGTAAAACTAGACTGTATGGCGGCTGCCGAGGGAGGGTAGGAAAGCCCAGGCCTTCTCTGTGGGGTCAGGAGAGGAAGCAGGAGAGGGCTGAAGTTGGGGAGGAACAGCTGGTATAGTGTGAAGAGAGACTTGGAGTCGGGGGTGGGCAGGATGGGATCATCAGCAGAGAAGCTGAAGCCAGGAATCATATAAGGGGGCAAGGGCATGAGGTCGATGTATGCAGAAAGAAGAGTCAATAATTATAAAAATAATTTTTAGTAAAAAACACAATTTGTTCCAAGATTTTATCCACTGTAAAAGGAAGATTTTACGCAGTGAAAAAGGTGGATTTTATATTGTAGCATAGAAAACAAAGCGGAGACAAAGTCTAAGAGAGAATAGTGGTTGGTTATTCATATTAAACATTAACAAATAGATAGAGTGCCTACCATGTACCAGAGATTGAGTATATTAAATGTATACAGCTGAGTAAATCATAATCTCTACCCTCACAAGCTTCCATTCTTAGCTCAAACGTTGGAGTTGGGTGCCACGAGTGTGTAATGAAACTGCAAATCTGAAAAAGAGAAAGAAATTGAGAGATGAGCTCTGAGATCAAAGAAAAGTTGGGGGTGAGGGAGGGTTAATAGCTTGAACTGGGGGATCAGACTCCAAAACATTAACCATACAACGTGGTATACAGTAGGTTAAGATTTTAGGGTTAAGTAGACGGCTCCCACCTTCCACAGCTTCATCTCCCACTAGCCTGCTCTAGCTGCCATCTTCTTGAGGTTGCTCAAAGCACTGCCTGGCTTTGAAGGCCAAGCTCTAGTCCCTGAGCCCATGGTGGCTTCCCTCCCCATTCCATAGTCTGGCTGACTTTTCTTTTATGACCTCTGGTGCATAGTGCAGACAGTCTTCATATTTGTCTGCCTGGGGCAGTTTTCCAGCCACATGGGAACTACTGGGGTCAGGATCCCTGCCAAGGAGGCTCTGGTCCCAGGGGGAGGGGTTCAGAGGCCCAGTTTACCTGGAGAGTGCTGCTGTGACCGCTCCCTTCTCCTCTTGCACAGCACATAAAAGAGGACTCCAGTGAGGATGAAGACAATGACCAAGAGGGACAGCACTGGCACCACAGCTGATGTCTCAGCTGTAGGACCCACATTTCTTTCCAGCTGTTTCTGGTTCTTGCCAGCCTCAGGCCCAGCCTCCAGATTGTGGCCCACTGAGGAAATAGTGGTCTCATTGGCGTGGGTGAGGTTTTTGTCCAAGGACAGTGCTTCCGCTGGAAGGGTAGGCTGCTGAGTAGACTGCAGCAGGATGGGTGGCAGGTGCGTCTTGGCACGGGTGCCCATGTGTGAAGGTGCCCTTTCAGTGCGCTCAGGAGCCTGGGTGTTGGGGGAAGGTAAATGCTTCTGGTGAACCACTCTTCTGGAGTTAGCACGTCCACATTCTAGAGAGGCAAGAAATGAGGAATCAGGGCTATGAGGGAACAAGATGAAGAAGTAGATAGAGAGAAGGGTCAAGGAGAACATAAAGGGAACAGCTGGAGGCCAGGGAGCCGGGGAAAGGTGGGGGGAGAAGGAAGTAAGCCAACCACAACATGAAACGACTGGGACAAGCATGTATTCTCACCTGGGAAGTCAAGAGACCTGGGTTGGCACCCTGGCTCTACTGCAAAATAGCTGTGTGACCTTGCCCCTTGTCTCTTAATCTTTTCAGGACTCATTTCTTTCAGTTATAAAGTGGGGATAATTTTAGTACCAAGGACCAGAGTAGCTGGGAGAATTAAATGAAATAATGTACATCTGTGGAGCCCAAAGGACAATAAGCATACCACTGACATTACACAAGACAACTTTAGGTGGAACGTGGAAAACATTTTGTATTTTAATGGTTGTGTATTTATTTTAGGAGAAAAATACAACCAGTGCATCAAATTTGTGACTTCACAGGTATTATTGCTTAGAATAAGTGCTATTTAAGTTTTTCCAAAGTGGCTTGTGTACACGTAAGGTTTATTCATTTTGTGTGTAATTTTTACCTCAAAAGAAAAAGGGAAAAATAAAATATTGAACTCTTCTTAATAATATGCATGTTGAAATGTATGCAGATGAAGTATAGTCATGCCTAAACTTACTTGGAAGTGCCCAAAAAAACAAGGTGGGGGGCCGGCCGAGTGGCTCATTGGTTAAGAACTGGCTTGGGACGCCAGAGGGCCCCGGTTCAGATCCCACATAGGAGGGCCAGTGACACTGCCCTCCACAGCTAAGATGCTGAACAACAGCTCAACCTGGAGCTGGGCTGCTGTGAGTTGCCGGCGACGGCATAGGCTGCAGCCCCTGTGGCAGTGGGTTGCCATGGGCTACTGTATGTAGCCAGCAGCCAGCATGAGCGGCCAGCAGCCGCAGTGAGCGGCCGTCCAGAAGCCAACGACTGATCTGCCTCGCCCAGGGAGAGCGCAATGGTGGTGCCAACTTGGGCCAGTGAAGCGGCGTCCTCCACAACTAGACTGAAGAACAAAAGGACAAGAACTTGTCTGTTCCCCTTCCCCCAATTCCCCAGCACTGTTCCCATCCCCCCAATTCCCCAATAAAAAAATCTTAAAAAAAAATAATAAGGTGGGGGTGACTGGTTAGCTCAGTTGGCTAGAGCATGGTGCTGCTAACACCAGGGTTGTCAGTTCGATCCCCACATGGGTCACTGAGCTGCACCCTCCTTAAAAGAGTCAACTATGCCATTGTAGCATGAAAGCAATGTGTAACCAATGACCATGGCTGTTCCCCAATAAAATAAAATAAATTAAAAATTAAAAAATTTTTTAATATTTTTAATAAGGTGGATTGATGAATAGAGGGAGATGACTGTGCAATAAAGCAAATATAGCTAAAATGCCATATACTCAATATTGTAAAATATAAAATATATTTGCTTTATGTACATATGCAAAATATGTAAAATATAAACATCACTTTTGTATATTGTATGTCTTTAAATTTCCATAATAAAATATTGGAAAACAAGTATAGTGCCTTGATTTCAAGAAAATAGTAAATAATAGCACAGGCAATAGGATGAATTGGGAAAAATCATGAAAGTGATGGTGAATGATGTTTGGTAAACAGGGACTTCAGTGAAAGGACTTTGGCCAGCATCGGAATAGGAATGTGAACTTTCATAAGAGAAACTGATGAGGCAAAGAAAATTGAAAGGTGGAGGCCTCGGAGCCCGGGAGACAGCCTGGGGAAGAGGGGCAAAGATCTCACCTCTGCGATCAAAGCAGCTCATCAATTCAATCACCCATCGGTCTTTGCTACCTCCACAGACAGTTCCCCGAGGTAGGTGGAACCTGCGGAGCAAGGATCCGGTCTCAGCTTGGCCTCCACCCTGCGCCCTTGCTTTCCCCAGCTCTTTTCCTCATTCCAAAAACGTGAGGTCACCACCCAGAGTGATCACTTTCAGAAGGGACTGGGAAATTCCCAGGTAGGTGGAAAAGGAAAACAGTGTGGAGAATTGAGGCAAACATCACCTATAGAGTGCGGTAGGTCCTCCCAGAGGGAGTTCAAGTTTGATCAGAGTGGGCCCTGGAGGCACCTGGCAGGGAGAAATTGCGCAGGCGCAGCCCTCCCAGGGGTGGGTGAGATTACCTGACGAAGGGAGAACAGCGATCAAAATCTTTCAGCTCTTTTCGTAAATGTCCCATAATTTCAACACTTGGAGGGGATGCGGAAAAAAATGTTTTAGCACAGTGACAGGTTCCAGCGCTGCTGCCCTCGTTGCCATCGCCTGAGCGGGACAGAAGTGGTCAGCACAGGTTCCCAGGCCAAGGGGCGCCCCTAGCTATTTAGTCTCCAACCCACAGCCTCTCCTCTAGACTCCGTGGTCTGAGCCCCCAGTCCCAACACATACATTACACCCCCCCCCCAAAGACGTTCATAATCCTACCTGGATCTAGACGTCCCCCAGCCTGACCCCAACTCCAAGCAGCCAACCCTCTCCCTGTCCCGGCTGGGACTCCTGGTCCCCACCTGTTCAACTCCATCCCGCAGCCTTAATGCCCCCGCACACACACAACCCCTTTCCCAGATTCGGGTATCTGGGCCCCAGCCCCACCCCTGACGAACCTAGCCGAGTCAGCCACGCTAGCAGAAGTAGGAGCGCAAGGGACCGGGGTCCCCAGCCCCGTCTCATTTCCGGCCGCCTGGCCCGTCTGACACTTAGGCTCCGGAGGGTGACGTCCGGCTGGTTTATCTAAGGCTTTCTTCTCCCGCTCCGCCTGAGATTCCTGGGGAGACAGCGGCCGTGAGAGTCCAATCCCACTGAGAAGGGAGCGCGAGGTGGCGGCGCCCTCCCTCCCTACTGGCGCTCACGGCGTCTCGAGCCGACAGTGCGATCAGTACGGTCGAGTCCGCGCGGCCGCCAGCCTCTGGCGGCGAGGAAACCCCCAGAGGCGGAGCTCCTTCGCCCGCGCCCCCGGGCCCGGCCTGGTGCCTTCGTCGAGGAGTTACCCAGAAATGTTTGAAGAAAGCGAAAGAAAACTCGGGTGGCGAGGCGGGGCAAGAAGGCAGCTACCCCACCGGCCGATTAGGTGCGGTTCTGGGATGCCAACCCTGCCCACCCACCCCCAGTCCGCGGGACCTGTGACATGGGTGAGAGGCTACATCCTCTTCCTTCTCCAAGACACTTTCACTTCCCGGCCCAGTGTCCTAGCGCAGCTAGATTCAGTCACATGGCCGGGGTGATGCCCGCAGGTCAGTCCGCGCGCCCAGACGCACGGACGCTGGCCAGGGCCACCTGGGCACACGCTGCCGACTCGCGGGGACGTGGCCACCCGAAGGGCTGGCGGTGGGCTCGGCAGTCCTGACGTCACGACCGCCCGCTCCCCCAGGTATTTACCTTCGAAAAGTGGTGGCGGCTGCAGGTACCGGAGTAGTGTAGTGGAGCGGCCGGGACGGGCTAGGTCTACTGGGGCTCACCGCCAAACCAATCCAAGAAGAAGGGATGCTCTGGCTCCTAGTCCCTCCTCCCACACCCCGCAGATGGATCCAAAATTCTTCGCTCCCTGCCAAACCCTTCCTGATAGGATTAGCCCTCCCTTATCTCTATCCCAACTCAAACCCTGCTTTTGAAGGTCTGAGCCTCACATTTTGAGCCTCAAATACCATGTCACTCCTGGGTACATCTTTAACCCTAATGGCCCACTTTCAAGTCTAGCCTCCGTTCTCATCCCTGGACTCCCATCCTCATTTTCAGGCCTGAAAACCCTATTCTCAGCTCCTAACACCCATCCATAGATCCCACCTTAGATGATCTTCAAACCCACCCTCCCCCATTTTGTGACCCAGCCCTGATTTTCACCACCACTGTCTCCCTCACCATGTATCCCTTTCTCTGCTTAGTCTGGGCCCAGGCCCTGTGCCCCTGAAGACATGGAGTTTGTGTCTGGATACCGGGATGAGTTCCTTGATTTCGCTGCCCTCCTCTTTGGCTGGTTTCACAAGTTCGTGGCCGAGCGCGGGACTGTGGGCGCCAGCGTTGAGGGCCGCTGGCGACAGCTGGAGGCTCAGATCAGAAGGCTGCCCCAGGACCCTGTCCTTTGGGTGCTCCATGTCTTGCCCAACCATAGTGTGGGCATCAGCCTGGGGCAAGGGACAGAGCCAGGCCCTGGACCAGGCCTGGGGGCTGCCAGGCTCCTGGGAGACGAACCCCCACTCCACCTGCGAGACCTAAGCCCCTATGTCAGCTTTGTCAGCCTGGAGGAAGGGGAGGAGGAGGAAGAGGAAGAGAATGGAGAGGAGGAGGGTGCAGGTACGGAGAAGGTAGAACCTGAAGAGGATGGGGAGCCAGCCCATACCAGCAGGGAGTCCCCCCAGGAAGCAAATCCTCCAGGGGAGCCAGAGGAGGCTGAGCAGGAGGCAGGAGGTGGCGTGGATGGCTGCCAAGAGGACAGGGCAGAAGACGAAACAGGGCCTGAGAGGAGGAAGGGACGGAGAAGTGGTAAGAACCCAGGGCTGGCCCTGCCCTGTCCCCTGCTCAGGCATGCTCCCCCTCTGAAGCCCTGTTCTACCACTCAGAACCCAGCTAGGAGTCACAAACAAGAGTGTGTGGCTGCAGGTGAATTTGACCTGAAAAGTTGTTTTCATTGACCCACAATGTTTTTTGTTTTTTAATTTGAACCAACATTTAAACATTGAAAGAAAAAAACTCCCAAAGTCTGGAGTTATACCTTCTCAAGAAAAATCTAAAGTTTTGACAGCAGACCCACATTTCTGCAGGGCAGCAAATGTTGGTACTATGCAGCACCTGTCCCCTTCAGATGGGGCATACCTTCTTTACCTTTACTCACTTAGTTTACTTGCCTAGCCCCTGAAGGCATTTGAGTTTGGTACCCCGACCCTGATCATCCTAGCCACCCACACCCCTGACTTTTCCCTTTTTTCCCAGAGGCTGCCCCCCTGCACCTTTCCTGCCTCTTACTGGTGACAGATGAACATGGCACCCTCTTGGGCATTGACCTGCTAATTAATGGAGCCCAGGGGAGTGCAGGCAGAGGCTCAGGGACACAGAATCTGGCTCCTCGGGCCTATGCTCTCCTCTGCCACAGCATGGCCTACCCCATGGGTTCTGGAGACCCTCGAAAGCCCCGACAGCTCACTGTGGGAGACGCCCAGCTGCATCGGTACAGAAATCTAGTATCTGAGGGTAGGGAGGCCTGGGGGGCCTGGACTTCTGAGCCCCTTAGCCTGATGCCCTTTCTACCCCCATTCAGAGAGCTGGAGAGTCTGGTCCCAAGGCTGGGCGTGAAGTTAGCCAAGACCCCAATGAGGACATGGGGTCCCCGGCCAGACTTCACCTTTGCCTCTCTTCGAGCTCGAACCTGCCATGTTTGTCACAGGCACAGCTTTGAAGTGAAGCTGACACCTTGGTGAGCAGCCTGCAAAGATGGAGAGGGAGGAAGACCCCAACAGTCAGGCATATAGAGAGAAAGCAGGTCAGTGGGGGACCCTGCATACAGAGTGATGGCTAGAGAAATAAGAAGACAAAGAAAAGACAAAGAAAACAACAATCAAATATATGGTGATGGAAGGAGAACTGACTCTGGGTGGTGAACACACAATGTGATATATAGATAATTGTACACCTGAATGTACCTATGTAACTTTGCTAACAATTGTCACCCCAGTAAACTGTAAAAAGAAAAAGAAAAAGAAAACAACAAGCTGTTACAGGCAGTCAGAATACAGACAAACAGACCAAGTGACATCTGGGCAGATGTAGGGCAGATGGGCAGCAGATAGGACTTAACAGAGATTAACACTGAGTGCCCACCATCCCCTGTGACCCCAGCCCCCAATGTAGTGCTGTCTTGTACTGTGGGGAGACCTGTCTCCAGGCTGACTGGCGGCGATGCCCAGATGATGTGAGCCACCGATTTTGGTGCTCAAGGCTTGCAGGCTTCATGGAGCGGGCAGGAGAACTGGCAACTCTGCCTTTTACCTACACTGCAGGTACTACAGGAGGTCAGGATGGGGAGGTCTTTGGGTCTGGGGCCTGGGCGTCTGGGAACAGGGTCCTAGGGTTGAAGGTTAAGTACCTTGGGCTGGAGACTGGATCCCTGGAATAAGGGCTGGGTACTGGGTATTTCATTTGGGCACTAGACCCCTAGGGCTGCAGACAGGGTCTTGGGAGCAGGGGACTGAGCGCTCGGGTCCCTGAGAGAGCTTGGGGGATTCAAACACTTGTTTCCCAGCTCTACCACTAACTGGTGACTGTAAATAAATTGCTTTATTTCTTAGCACCTTCCTTTCCTTGTCTGTAAAATAGGGATACCAATAAAATGTTCCCAGGGAACTGTTATAAGAATTCTGTAGGCTGGATGCCTACTATACTGTAGACATTCAGAAATGTTAGCTCTCTCCCTGACTAGACTCAGACCCAGGGTCCTTGGGAGAGGCTGAGGAGAGCTAACGTCTCGGGTCCTAGCCACTAGGCCTTCAACCACTGTCCTCCTCCTCTAGAGGTGACCAGTGAAACCTTCAACAAGGAGGCCTTCCTGGCCTCGCGGGGCCTCACTCGTGGCTACTGGACCCAGATCAGCATGCTGATTCCAGGCCCTGGCACCCCCAGGCACCCACGGGGCAGCACACCATCCCTCAGTCTTCTTCTCAATGGTGTGTGGGTCTCTCGTCAGAAATGGGCCTCTCAGACTAGAGGAAAAGGTGGGAGAGTAAAAAGTTGTCCGGGTCCCAGACAACCCCTCATATACACACACCAAAACCCATCACCACCACCAGGGCCATTTCAGTCCCTTCTCCAGCCCTGTAAGAAGTCACCCCATCCAGAAACTCCATCCCTAGGAACTGCCCCATTCCTCTTGCCGCAGTTCCAGATTCTCTGTCAGGGAAAACAGCACCTTTGGATGGGAGGGGATGGGCCAGGTGGGGGTCTCCCTGACACCAGGCTCCTTTTCCTTTCCTCCTTTCAGGAGATCCCTACCAGTTTCTCTCAGGAGATCCTTACCAGCTTCTCAAGGGGGACGGGCCTGCCTTGATGCCTCCTGTGCCCCCAGATCCACCCAGGGGTCTCTTTGGTGAGCTGGAGGGGCCCTGAAGGAACTGAGGGTAGGGACAGGGACTGGAGAGCCAGCAGTCTGGGTGGCTAAGATAAAGGGGACTGTCAGACTGGAGGGGTTGGGGTCCAGACCTAGGGCCAGGTCCTCCAGTAACCAACTCTCCCCAGGCTTATGGCAGGATTACTACATATGGCGGGGCCTCAGTTTGGACTCTCCCATGGCTGTGCTTCTCACCTACCCACTGACTGTATACTACGTCATCACCCACCTGGTGCCCCAGTCCTGTAAGGAGAGCGGAGGCAGGGGGAGGGGTGCCTGGACCTGGGGGTGGGGGTTGGGGGTGGACAGGAGGGAAGAGGAGGGAGACCATATCCTTAAACAGCTAGCTTCTCACCTAGTCCCTGAGCTCAACATCCAGAACAAACAGTCGCTGAAAATCCATGTGGTGGAGGCCGGGAAGGAATTTGACCTTGTTATGGTGTTTTGGGTAAGTCTCTCCAGACCTGTTTTGGGCATTTGGGTGTGAAAGTGGATACAGGGGGGATCCCAGATCTGTCCTCTGTCCTTTAGGAGCTCCTGATCTTGCTCCCCCATATGGCCCTAGAGATGCAGTTTGTGGGTGATGGTCTGCCTCCTGAGAGTGACCAGCAGCACTTTATCCTGCAGAGGGTAAGGACTGAGGGGGGCCCTGCTCTTCAGCGCTGATTCTCCTACTGTCCCGATTGAGCCCTGCCCTTCTGCTCCCTCCTCCCCTTTCCCTTGTCTTGCGTCCTCCAGTACCCTAACTTGCAGTGATTTCTCCACCCCACTCATGGCTCCCCAGGATGGCCCCGAAGTATCTGTCCGTCCTGGTTCTGGGGTAGCAGCACGGCTCAGCTCTGGGACTAAGGAGAAGGGAGTCCACAGGGACCTGCAGATCAAAGTGTCTGCACGGCCCTACCACCTGCTCCAGGGGCCCAAGCCTGACTTGGTTATTGGTAAGAGCCTGGGATAGGAGTGTGGGGAAGGTGGGAGAAGAAAACCATGGGAGCCAGCTTCTCCCTGCTCTCCCTCTGTCCACAGGATTTAACTCTGGCTTTGGTCTCAAGGACACTTGGCTGAGCTCACTGCCTAGGTTACAGGTGGGTAATGAGGCAAAAGGGAATTTCTCTTACCCTCTGCCCAGTCCCTCTTCTTTTCTTAAAAGACTCTGCTTCCCCATCATTTGTCCCACAGATGTGGGGCGGCCCACGGGTCCTCTGGCCCTCTCTGTGTCTGCCTCCTGCCTCTCCCCCATCCTGGTCCATCTAGATCCTCAGTTTTCAACCTAGTCTACTTACCCTTGCTGCTCGAGAGGTCCCTGGGGGGAGGAGGCTCTCTGAGAGTGTCTGAAGCCAGGCTCCTACCTCAGTCCCTCCGAGTGCCAGCCTTCTTCACCGAGAGTAGCGAGTACGGCTGTGTAATGGATGACCAGACCATGGCAGTGGCCACAGGAGGGGGCACCAGCCCTCCACAGCCCAACCCCTTCCGCTCCCCCTTTCGCCTCAGAGCGGCTGACAACTGCATGCCCTGGTAAGGGCCCGCTACCCTCCGTACTTCCTCCCTGACCCTTAACTTCTTACTCTCTAGCTGTTGATCCTAAAAGACCCACCCCAACCCTCACCTCTGCTCTCCTGGGACCCTCCTTGCCCCAGCCCTACAACCCACCTTCTCTGTCCCCACTACTCACCACCCCCTTGGTGGGTCTCGACAACCCCAACACACGCCTCTTTAGGTCCAGCTAACAAAATCTTTCCAACTCCTCGCCCATCCCCAAAAGACTGCTATCCTCTGTCTGGCCGAGCCCTAGGTCTAGCCCCACACCTCGGAACTCAGGGCGCACAAAAACCCGCCGCTGACGGCGCCACGCCCCCCCCCCCTCCCCCGCAAGGTACTGCAATGCCTTCATCTTCCACCTGGTCTACAAGCCTCCTCAAGGGAGTGGGGCTCGCCCAGCACCCGGGCCCGGGCCTCCAGCACCAATTCCTGAGGCTCCTCCTGACCCCGCCAGAAGGCGCCGAGGAGAAAAGAAATCTGGGCGGGGAGCCCGCCGGCGGAGGTGAAGGCTGAGAGGTAGCAGTCCACCCTCTCTCCCAGCAAGCCTCCGAAAGGGATTCGAAACACGCAAGGCTGAGGGTGATGCGGGTTGGCAGAACACAGAAAAGATAAATAAAATTGCTTGTTTGAAACCACTGAGTCTAACACTCATAATTGGGTCACTAATCTGGGAGGAGAGAAAAGGATTTAGGGATGACTTCTTTTCCTCCAGCTTCTTTAAATTCCTCGGTGGCTGTCCCCTCTGAATTGGGACTCTGACCCTCCTTGGTATTCCCAAACTATTTCTAGTGTATATGCGGGTAAGTCATTTTCCGCCTTTAGTAACCCTCAGGGACCTGCCCTAAGGCAAGACCAAGAAGCAGAAAGTAGCTTCTCACTAAGGGTCATGCAACCTCCTAGGGGCACACAGACCCCTAGGTTTTGATTAAGTGAAAGGCCGCAGCCACCCAACTGTCCAAGTTAGAAATCTGGAGGCCATTCTTGACTCCATCTTCTCTCATCCCTCATATTCAATGAAGAACCAACTCCTGATGAGTCAGACTGCTCAAATCACTTAATCCATCAGTTTATGTCCAATCCCACTGAAAACTCTACCACAAACTCATCTCCACATTTCAGCCAGCGTATTCCATCTAAAACAGACATTCAAACACGTTACACCCCCTCCCCAAATCCCTTCAGTGACTTCACTCTGCTTTTCAAGTCCCCTTGAGTGTGAGCTGGACTTAGTGACTCTCGTTAAGTACAGAAAGGGAAAAATAGTGGAGAAACCTGGCAGACCCCACCTTAACCAAGTAATTAAGGTTAAAAAATAATGTCATGTTAATACAATGTGCTCCCTGACATGATGCAATGAGCAGGCCACATCACCTCTGTAGTATTCTTCCTAAAAATCCATAATCTCGGTCTAATTGTTGCAGCCACAAGGCCTGTGTGCTCAGCACATCATATATTTAATATTCAATAGATCAGTGTTTGGAATAAGGAAAGGTTTTATTTATGGGAATGGTGCCATAATGAGAAGATAAGGCGATTTCTGGTTTTCTCAAATCCATTTGAAAAGAGTCCAGAATTCAGGCTTCTCTTATGTCAAGGGAAGGGAGAACAGGAGGTGCAAGATCGAAGGAAGAGTGAGGGAAATCTCCAAATCTTTGTTCCCAGACGGTCTGACTAGAAGTTACTCAATTCTCTGGCAGAACTCCTCCATTCAAGTAGCATAGCTATAGAAATTCAGGCTGGAATTAAGGTGGAGTCAGGGAAAGGAGTGTTTTACCCTGTTACATAATCATAAGAAAACATCAGAGAACTCCAAATTGCGGGACAGTCTTCTAAATATCTAACCAGTATTCTTCAGAAGTGCCAAAGTCAGGAGAGGCAAGGAAAGACAAAGAAACTGTGACAGATTGAAAGAGACTAAGGAGACATGACGAAATACAATGCAGTATCCTGGACCAAACCCTGGAACAGAAGAAAAATATTAGGGGAAAAACTGGAAAAAACTGAATAAAGTCTGTAGTCTAGTTAATGGTATTTATCAAAGCTAATTTCTTAGTTTAGATACATATGCCATGATTATATAAGATGTAACATTAAAGGAAGATGGGCAAAGGGTATACGGAAATGCTCTAGTATCTTTGCAACTCATCTATAAATCTAAAATAATTTCAAAATAGAAAGTTAAAAATCAAGTTCAGGGGCCGGCCAAGTGGTTCAACTGGTTAGAGCGTGATCTCTGAGCAATGGGGTCTCCGGTTTGAACCCCACATGGGCCAATGAGCTGAGCCCAAGCTGAACTGCCACTGAGCTGCCAACAGGTGGTAGGATGGCTCAGCTGGTGAGAGCACGTGTTCCTAACAACAAGGTTGCTGGTTAGATTCCTTCATCGGATGGTGGGCTATGCCCACACACAACTAAGACTGAATACAGCACCTTGAGCTGAATGGCTGCGAGCCGCCGACAGGCAGCCCGATGGCAACTGGACCTGGAGCTGAGCTAGCTGCACCCTCCACAACTAAGATTGAAGGACAACTACTTGATTGTTCCCCTTCTCAATTCCCCAACACTGTTCCCCTTCCCCCTTCCCCAATTCTCCAATAAAATTTTTAAAAAAAATCAAATTCAGACTCCTTAGTATGGCGTATAAGGTGCCTCTCTCTTTCTGCCGTTCTTTTATTATCTAAGTTTCCAAATACTCACAAAAGCCCAGAGACTTAGTATCATGAGTCCTATGTACCCATCACTCAGCTTCAACAATTATCTACATTTTTCCCATTTTATTATCACTCTCTGTGACACTGTGATGTAATAAGAAATACAGAGAGTGCCAAAAAAATGCATACAATTTTAAGAAAGGAAAAAGCTACTAAAAATTGTAATACTCAATATATACCAATAACAAAAGATGAATACAAGTCATGTTTGACTTCTGCAATTACAGGAGGTGCTCAGAGTGGCTACCATCAGCATCCAGACACTTCTGATTATGGCGAACTACTGCTTGAGTAACGTTGACTTGTATAAATTTTTTTTGGCACCCCCAGTATATATTTGGTCTTTCCAAGTTCCTGGCACAGAGCTCCTAAAACCCTTGGAATTTCCTGAGTGATAGATGTGTTTTTTGTTATTCATAAACTTCTTTCACCTGTACCTGTGTTTATGCTAATGAGGTGCCTCTAGGTAGGCCCTTATTTAACTTCAGGATGGGGGAGGGGCTGGTTGCTAGAGGAAACAACCATGTGATTAGAGAGCTGGAAATTTCAGCCCCACCCCTCAACCCCCTCTCCCCAAGAGGTGAAGAGCTGGAGATTGAGTTAATAACCAAGATTTAATCAATCATGCCTCCATAATTGAACCACCATAAAAATCTCTATCCAATGGGGTTCAGAGAGCTTCTGGGTTGGCGAACACACTGAAGTGCTGAGGATGGTACACCTAGAGAGAGCTCGGAAACTCCACACCACTCTTGCTCCCCATACCTTGCCCTATGTATCTCTTCCATTTGGTCCTTCCTGAGTTGTATCCTTTATAATAAACCAGTAATAGTGATACCATGCTAAGGTCCTGCTGCCTGCCGCTTGAAAAAGTTAAAAATCGAGAGACAAGTTTGGTGGGAAGCAAAGCAGGTTTATTCAGAATGATGACATTTTGGGAAGATGGCAGTCTCCTGTCCAAAGGCCACCTCCCTGTTCCTAGACGGGTCAGAAGGTTTCATAGGTACACAAGAAGAACAAAGGAAAGGGAGAATTGGTCAGGCAGGTCCAGAGGGCTGACATCCTTCCTGGGGTCTGGTCTGTTTTAGGTTAATGTTATCTCTGGACCACGGAGGCCTAGGGCTTTACGTGTATTCCAGTGTCTGTGTGCCTGAAGAGTAATAAATTGCCCTTTCCAGGTTAAGATGCTATTGATTAAATGGATTAACGAGGTATAGGTAGTCTCGAGAAAGGGGACAAAACAGAGTTCTTTTGTTAATCAGTGAGGGGAGAAACAAAGAGAAAATAGTTGAATATCAGGGTGGATCTATGCAAACTAGCTAGTTTTAATTACAGGTGGCTAGTTAGATAGCGGGCTATGTGATGAGCCAAACTGCAAACTAGCTAAGTCTAATTACTTATCGATTCCCGAATTTCTCCCTTACAATAGTAAACTATTTTCCTGAGTTCTGTAAGCTATTTTAGTAAATTATCAAAACTGAAGGAGGGGGGGTTGGAACCCCCAATTTATAGTCAGTTGTTCAGAATTACGGGAGGCTCAGGATTTATGATTGCATCTTAAGTGGGGGCAGTCTTGTGGGATTAAGCTCACTCTGGGTATTTCTTGTCAGAATTGATTAAATTGTAGGACACCCCAGTTAGTGTCTGGTGAAGAATTAGTTGCTATGGGGAAAAAATAACCCAAAAATTTGACGTAAGATGTGCTGGTAGTAAAAACAGCTAACAGTTGGTGTCAGAAGTGAGATTTGCTAGACTGTCCCTGGCTCAGAAATACATGGTTTGGGTAGAGAAAGAACAAAAGGGTGGGAAATAAGGAACCTTTGGTTCCTGGGTGGCCACATGGTCACCCATAGTATGGAGCAGCAGTTGTGCTGCAATCAGCTCCTGAAGGTAAAAGTTACAAATGTAATTTAGAATTGGATCCAACTTCCAGGAGTCGGTTTACTAGATGCCTAAGGAAATACAAACTAGTAAGAAAAAAGTGAAACATACAACCTCTCAGTTATTATCTGTAATACAACTAAAATGAAATTAAAAAGGAGTTCTGGTTTGAACTTTGATGCTAGACTAAGTTCAGATTTTGGTCTATGTAGGCTCTGGCCACTAGCCTCAAAGCTGTCCACAGAATGAAAAATGATGCCGGGACAAGAGAAAGTATCTCTAAGGCCTCTGGTCACCAAGGAGGTAGTCAACGTGGGGGGAGGGCAAAACCAAGACAGTACTGAAACCAGGGGATAGAGTGGGAAGGAGCTGTTTCATTTTGTAGATCGGTATCATCAGCTTTCTGAAGAACCTTTACCAAAATGGACCGTGAGAGTGTCTAATTCAGGAGCAATAGCTTTGGTGTTAAATGCTGCAGGGTAGAAGAGCATGTTTGGGTTAATACAGGACCTACAGCTCCCTATTAAATAATCACAGATGGCTGTAAACAATCCAGACACACAGGAGGTTATTCCTGAGAAATATTCCTGAAGCTATCTAGGGCCTCACTAGGAATCACCTCATTAGCACAAAGGCAGGTATGGTTGAAAGGGGCTTATTATGAATGACAAAAGATACTCCTCTCATCCCTATCACTCAGGATATTCCAAGGGTTTTTAGAAGCACTTGTGCCAGGAACCTGAGCCAAAGACCAATATGCATTTCTTATTATATCACAATATCACACATTCCCAGCTTTTCCCCAGAGTGTTTTAAAGCTCACCCCAGACAACAGCTCTCTCACTTATGTGCATCTGTAATTAATA